AGTAAATATCTTTGGCCTATTYATAGCTTTGCTACTATGTAATGGTGCTGATCAAGATATTTATTAGTCTATCATCATATTTKCTTAGAGCACTAGTTTAGTATGGTCATCTAGTGAAATGGGATYATACACACAAAAAAACAACTGCATCAAATGTTCAAGTACTGCATTCAATTTTTTTTTCAATGTGCAACAATTATTTACCAAAGGTGAAGTGATTATCAGTGAAAATATGTTGAGCTGTGAGTCTTCAAGCAGCGAGGTGAATATTCACCATAATCACTGAGCCTGAGGGGAATAATTGTTTTAGTATAATTTTAGACTTGAATATCAGAGAAAAGACGAAATTCAGGATAAAAGAAGGTTTCAGTATTACTTCAATTCTGGCAAACTTTGAAAAACCTAAACACCACTCCAACAGTGATTATGGTCTCAGAAAAGAATCTCTGGTCACATTGCTCAAACTTGTATATTCAAGTCTAAAATTATACTAAGTTATGATATGATCAATGAATTAATTTAGTTAACAAATTTTASGTTCATAAGAATCTTCTGTAATATTTTATTGAGGAGCAGGATCATCCAGCCCTAGTTTAGCAATATTAGCAAGTAAGAGAAAATGACATTATGGATACCATTTGTCTCATCTATTTGTCTCATCACAACAAGGATGACAAAAAATATTTTCGCTGTCCTCAAACTGAAGATATAAGCTCAAAGATTCATCTTCAAGATATGAATTCCATCACTACAAACTTCACCACAGATAACACCCTTGCATTAAGAACAAAGCTAACAAGTCTGAGGACCAATCGTTTATGTAGCCTCTTCAGGCAAATCTATCTGGGGCATCACCCCAAGAAAAATAAGTAATCATATCCAGTTTAAGGAGCAAGTTYACTCAGGAAATTTATCAGCTGCACTTGGCATCTCCTTACAGAAACAATCTTTGTGCTCTAGAAAATCAAGGATATCTATAAACGATGAGGCGTACCATGAGTTGAACCAAAGCTAGGTATGATTCTGTCATATACTACTGCCTTATGGTTTACTCATCACTACAGACAACATGTTCTAAACCCATTCACTAAAGACAACAGTCTTTAATGCAAAGTATAACTTTCACAGGACAAACCATACCACATTAATTAACAACTTTTGCAACAGCAAATGTTTTTCAGCCTTCAACATTAMATTCACAAACACCTCTTCCTCTATAGACAAAAACAGTCTTGTTCTACGGCAGGTCATGATCTACCAAACTGATAACCTGATGTCACTCAAACAGACTAGACAATGTCTCTTCTTTCGGCCTCCACCATGCATTGAAGATTAGACTCTCAACACTTCTTCCTCTATAGAGGAAAACCAATCCTGTCCTATGCAGGTCATGATCTATCAACCTGCTAGGGCACCAGCAGATGTAACAAGTAGATACACAGCCTCTGGAAACTGCTTCCTTGTTTTGAAAACATTGCACTTCAGCTATTTTTGATAT